ACAAGATGGCATTTCAGAGAAAGTGAGCAACATTCTGTTAATAGATAACAAAATAAATAAAGAAATATATATATATATATATATATACACACACACACAGATAGAGAGATGAAAATCCATTCATCCATCCATTTTCTAATCCGCTATCCCAGCTGTCCTCGGGCAGGGCGCACATAGACGAACAACCATCCGTGCTCACAATCACTCTTAGGGATAATAGAGATTGTTCCGTATACTTGCCATGCATGTTTTTGGAATGTGGGAGGAAACCGGAGTACCCGGAGAAAACCCACGCAGGCTACGCGACACATATTTTACCACGCATAATTTATAACTGACCTTTCAGAATAAAATTTCACCTGTTGCTGAACCTAACCCTTAATTCATAAATATTACAAAACACAATATGAATGCCATATCGTTACGAAAACCTGTGAAATGACAGCAGATAACAGAATCAGCACAAAATATATATATATATGGAAATGTTTCCTTGCATCCCTGATGAATAAATTCAGTAAATATTTGTTGATCAGTTTAATGAATTAGTTGTCAATTCATCATTGCGCTTCAACAGTGTCTTGTCACACTTACCGTAAAACAAAGAGAAATACACTTTGTGTATTTCAAACAACCACGAAGCCTGACAGCGGTCCATTTAGCTTAATGGCAGCAATGCAAAAGGCCATCGGGGTAACAAACAGCATCTACTTGGTTGTGTTTATCCAACGCTTTCAGCACATCAACACGGGTAGACAAACGATATGACTAGTACTGCCGCTGACTGAGTTCCCTACAGGAGTTGTAATACTCTTCTTTGTTTGGGTCCGCAAGACTACTGTACCGCCCCCAGGTGGACAAGTTACAGACGTCGGAAGCGGCCACAAATACAGTACAGGATTCAGCATGATGCGCTATTTATTTTTTGGGATTCTATTTAATTTTGTTACTGAGGTGCAATCGATTACTTGATAACTAATTAGTTATCAAATTAATCACCAACTATTTTCAGAATCCTTTAGTCATTTAGAGACATTGTTCAAATCCTCAGAATTCCAGCCACTTCACAGTAAACATTCAGATTTCTGTCATCCTCCACAAAAGTAGACCGATTAGTATATATATATATATATGTATATACACACACACACACACACACACACAAAACAAACTTTTTGTCCACCTCAGCCCAACATAGCAGCTAATCAACAGTATGATGCTTTGCGCCCCGAGCCACTCGGAGCATAAAATGACTGGCCAAGCCTATTTCTTTGTCACTGCTTTTATTGTGTACAAAAGTCATACAGGTATTGTTTTTTTTCCCCAATATCGTGAGCTTTTTTTTTCTTTGTTATAACAATATAGTGACTCTTTGTACAGTAACTGTCTCAGTATAACTTTCCGCTCTCCTGAGCATAGTTTCTCTTCCACCGTGCTATTATAGACTGTCCAAACAATACAGAGAGGGAAATGTGTGCTGCTTTTCAAACAGTATGTGATGAAGACAAATGTTTTCATATCACAATATATTGTAGGGATAAAAAAAATAATCCAATACTGTGCAGCCTGTATTTGTGTGCTTTCCTTTTTTCCCCCAGTTTGTCATTTTGTATTGCCCTTGGTCATATTAAGCCATTATAAACTTAGACTCACTACACTGATTGACCATATTGCCGCCGTCAGTTGCCCCCAATCACCCGTGGATTACAGTAACTCTTAATGCTTCTTATTTCAGATGATACCAAGTTTTATCGTGCTCCATCGTCGTCAGCTAAGTCACTAAGCCTTTGTGCTCAGTATGTTGGCCATCCTGCTGTTACGCATAAACAAATACACACATGCATCACGCACACACTTTCTGGGATGTCATTTCTGAAACTTCTAAAGCAAACCCGGTTGCCCTTTACTGCAATTACAAGCAGTGATGTAATAGAATCCTGAAAACAATGCAAAGATAATTATCTTCATAATTGCAGCCGCATACAAAAGTACTCTTGCATCATGATACCCAACAATGTAGTAAAAGAGCTTGAAAGGTACTTTAATGGGATCATTACGTGACCATCATAATTTCAAATGGCTTTTCAGTGAAAACAAAAAAAAACAAAAAATTGTCTTGAAGGAAGACACAATATCTGTGTTCATGTACATGTATATGGATTTTTGCTGTGGCTGTTTTGAAGGCTACGATGACTGAATGCAAAGGTGGTTTGGCCGAGATCACTGTTTGCTTCAGCAGATGTTCGCAACCATGACAAACCCCTGTGGAACAGATTTGACCTGGATTTACATGTTGTTGTCAGGCTAATACACAAGGGAGAAAAATATTACTTTGAGCTCATGTGCTAACCAGCACCTCCTAAAAGGTAAACCTTTTCAGAGGTGCACCCTACTTTGGGTTGGGATCAGAATGCTTTTAAAAGTGAGAGGGCTCGCTTAATCCCTGGTGAGGTGCAGCACTGAACATTACCAAGGATTAGTGCGGGATATTCTGACTGAATGCATTAGAGGTATATTAGATAGCTCCGTGATGGAGCAACGACTAATGCACCAGACTCTGAATTACAGTCTAATCTGCATTTAATTGTCCAGAGTTTTGATGTAATAATGGTATTATCTAATGCAGGGGCTATAAGAAAAACAACAGGCAGGGAAAATGGAACAGGCACTGTCAGTTACAGATTTGGACCATTATGCAGCCTGTTGACCTGAAGAGATGATTTGGACCTCCATCATTACAACTGAGAGCTTAGCAACAGTCAGCAAATGTCAAGCGTGCAGTAACAGAGCTTTCACAATTGAATTGGTTGGTGATATTGTTGTTATTTTATGTTAAATGTTCAGTCTAGTGCTTTGTTGCAGCTTCAGCTGTTGTGAAAGCACTGTATAAATAAAGATGATGTCATTTTGTTGTCTTGTTTGGTCACTCTGGCATTTTCACTTCCTCGATTACGGTCCCTCACACAAGATTTTACACTCAAGTTGATGGAGCCTTGCAGTCTACTGCCCCATATTGCGGCACACACTTCGAAGTGCAGCTAAGAGCTGTCTCTAATGGAGACATTTTGAAAAGCAGTTAAAAACACATTTTTGTGAGCTAGTATTTTTATCATCTAGAGGATCTTTTGAGTCCTCTGAAATGCAAGTTCATTTGTCATGTCTGCAGCATGTCTTTCGTTTGCATTCAAGTTTCAGCATTGTGTAGAAGGATCCAGACATCCCTTAAATGTGGAATTTTGCTTTTAAAATTTCAGACAATGCAAGTAAATGTGTCCATCTATTTGCAGCTGTGTGAACACTACATTTTTCTTTTTACGATACTATATTTATTTTTTTGCCTGACGGACTTCTACTCCACACTTCAGCCCATGTATCATTACTATGGTGAAAATGAATGAGTTTGCGTTGACTTACAGTGTGCGCCCCTAAAATTTCAGGTTCGAGTCCACTGTGCTTCTAGAAAACAAAGTTAGTCTGGAGCCCTGCATCATGTACAGTGGGTGTCCCCAACCAACTGGCAGTGGACTAGCATTGGGTCGAAGGCCAATCGATACAGAGAGAATGCCCAAAAAATATTTTATTGATCATCAGTCAGAAAGAAATTTGATTTTGAAAATAAGATGCATTTGCCTGAAAGCACCACAAAACAGTCACTCATCTTGGTCACTCAATACGGAAAAAAAGTAAGCCTAAAAAAATCGGCAGCCCGACTTAAAGTTATTGCGAGTATACTCGACAATGAAATCAACAAAATTGCTCCGGCACGCGGAACCCAAGCAATGAAACACAAACCTTGGTATTTTTTGGGGGGGGGGGGGGGGGATTATGCTGGTTACTTATTTTGGTTACTTAGCTATCCTGTACTCCTAAATTTGAGGATGTGATTCTTTTAGCAGAAATGTACTGTATGTACCTACTCCTGCTTGGCTTGGAAAGGGCTGTTGTCCTGGTAGCAGTTTGGCATTGATTTTTTTTTTTTCTGGTGTAGCTACCCCTCCTGGATGTCAGTGATAAGACTATAAATCTCATCATATGCATCCCTGATTGCCTTTTTGGCTTCTGCAGTGTTTTATACCCATTGACCCCTTTCTCATTTAATTTAATGCATCCATGATCCAAGTTTTAGTAGTTAAAGCTATCCGAATGATACAGTAACCTTAAATAGCCTTAGCTAATCTTTTCTAATCTGGTGGGGCTTGTTTTCATTTACATTTGAATGGATTGGCCAGAGAATGTTCAGTATCAAATCAAAAAGTAAAAATCCCTACTTCCAATTTCTCAATGTTCAAGTTGGATTATCTAGAATGCCTTGCATTGATTGACGACTTCACCTTGAAGTTACTGTACATCCTCAATGCTTTGCTGGATGTTTGCGGTTACATCACATTCTTATAGATTCTGTCCAAGTGCTTTTCTGTTAACATACAATAATGTTTTCCAGCCAAGGACCCAAAGTGAGTCCCGTGCTTCTTTAGGATATGAAACTGAAAGTCACTGACGATTAAAGGTGAAACAAATTACAAACCTGAATGGTGTATGCATGTTGACTTAAACCGGTGAAACCATTATACAATACCAAGGGAGTTTCTTTTAGTCAAGACTTCATGTTTACTGGACGTAAATTCCTTTGAACTGATATGAGGGTGAAAATGTAAAAATGAACAGGAAAACACATACAGTTACATAAATCGGCACCTCAGAACAGAATCACTCTTGGTGTACCTGTCCTTTCAGAGTATTTTTTTCACTTATGTTCAGACAAATCACAAGGAGAGAGGTTGCGAACCACAAGTCAGCAGTTGATCCTGCCAGACTGTCGAAACGCACACAAAAGCACAGAAAAATAAATGACTCCAAATGCCTGCTTAATCCTGCTGTTTCGCAAAGTGCATTTTAATCCAAGACAAAATATTTTAATTGACCTTAGAAAAAATTCTAAATGGTGAACGCAGCGGTTAAATTGTCCTTTGGCTGTCTGACTCACAGTTCTGACGTTCAGGGTTTGAATCTCAGCTTCAGCCCACAGGGGGAGTTTACATGTTCTCCCTGTGCTTGAGTGAGCTTCCGGTCTTTCTCCCACATTGAGGAGTCTAAATTGTCCAGAATTGTGAATGTGAGTTTAAATGGTTCTGTGTCTCACGGCCTGCAAATTGACTTGCTACTGGTTCACAGTGTACTCTGGCATGGTCTAAAAACACTCTACGCCAGGTTAGATTAATTGAAGTGTCATATGTTGTTTGTCAAATTCTGTTGGCCCAAAACTCGTTGTATCTCTGTTGCAAACTGCCGATGATACGCCAAACTGTGAATATCTGGTTCGTCCACTTATCTGTCCTGTCTTTCCTGAAAATTCTGGTCAAACACAGCATTATGACAAGATTCAAGTCATTCAACTTTGGTGATCCCATTGTATTTTCCATGCATATGTATGAATATAATTGACTAGCAATAAATCCAGGATGTACCCCGCCTCTTGCCCAATGCTATCTGAGATTAGCTTAGTCAGAGGTGATAAGCGATATGGAAACTGGATGGAAGTGGATGAAGCGATGGATGTATTAATATAAGGCCTGGGTTATAAAAATAAAATGCCCTAAATGCCACCGATCCCTTAATTTGGATCCGGCCCAAAACGTAATGGATGCTGCTTTGATCCAAGGCTCACCTTTGCATTCCTGCACTTGAAACTTGGCAGACACAAATCAGTGACATCACAACCGCTTTTGGCAGCAGTAACAAACTGTTCAGGAGCCGTTTGCACTCCATTAACTACATTTAACTAACATTTCGTCACATCTGATCAATGAAATTACCGACCACGTCACATTGGACCAATGAAACTGTTCGAGTCCGCCCTCATACTGAATATTCATCAGCTGTTTGCGGATGGGGTGCGGATGCGGGCTGTAACAGACAAATGCAGAAAATTTGTGTGTGTGTACACAGCTGTTTCTACGTACAAGCTTGCTCAGATTTATTGTTTCAATTGTAAGGTTTGCTTTTATTGTGTTTTAATTTTAAATTGTGAACTGTGTGATAGGAAATAGTAAGCGCATTTTTGTTCCACAATGCCTGTGCCCCAGTGCATAAAGGGTGGTGGGGCGCGGGGGTCCTCCGATACAACTTTTTTCACTTTCGATATGATACCAATATCGTAACCTGTTCGCTAGATCTTTTGAGATGAACAAGAACAGAGGTAGAGAACCACCAGATCCTCTCTCAGGTCCATCGACGATTTTGCTCCAGACAAAGACAAAAACAGACACACTAAAGTCTGAGTGAAAGTCTTCCTGGACATGTGGAAGGTGTCATACTTGATATTTTCCTCCATTTTCACCTTGTGTAATTATAATTTAATGGTCTACTCTTATTCAATGACAACAAATACCACACATTACTAAATTGTGGAGCACTTAGTAATTGTTTCCAGTTGTCAAATAAACCAGTTTTTGTATGTGTTGGCCAGGAGCCCGCTACAACAGAGCTTATTCATCAAAACAAACATTTCCTCAGCTGCTTAGCCTGCAGGCAACATCTTGAGCAAAGACGCTTGTGAATGTTAACTTTCTTTTTGTCTCCATGCTGATGAATTCAGATGCTGTGAACACTTTCTTCATGTGCAGTTTCAGCAAGGAACAAAGATGCTGGATGTAGATTTGACATGTAACAGTAGTCATAAAGTGCCTGCTCAGGTTTCTGATATTACACTTCATAAAATTACATGTGGCGAATTCCTCGAACAACCCCCTTTCCTTTTATCATCCATTCATTTCCCCACTGGCCTCGCTCCGTGTTTCATTGAGCTGCAGCGTCAGCGATTACACTCAGCGTAAACATAAAACACACATTCATCTTTGTAGCTCTCGCAGCTAATGACTATGGACGTTGCGGCCATAAATGTGCTGGCCACAGTCTCCCGTTAGCTTGTTTATGAAGTCCTTTGACTGGCATGGCCATATCCTCATCGTCATTGTGGCTCATTTTTATTAGCCATAACATAAAATTTGGCATTTTGTTGGAATAAATGTAATTCTGTTATCCCATATTTACTCTCTGTGTAACTTTAAAACCTGTTTCAGAGTGAAACCTTGCAAATACCTAATATACAATGGGGCAGGTTGATCATGGGAGACTTGTCAGACCGGGAGAGCCCAGGCTGCTCCTGTTCTAGCTTTTAAGATAATATCTTTTTGTTAAGTTAACGGCTTCTGATGAAATTAACTGTTGCTTGTGAGAAGATAACATCAACCTTAGGACACCATGTGAGGGACATTCCAAGCTGTGTTCGTGGACCACCGACGTCCAGCAGAAGCTGTCTGATCACCTCAGGAATGAACTGTGTGTTCTCATTGAAACTCTCCTTTACTGAAACTGTTGTGGAATGTGAAAATACTCCCCACACCCATTAGAAGATCGTGCATCAGGAACATCCTTCCAATAAATGCAAGGAGACAAACGCGGTCTCTTCAGAGTTGCCCCGGAACCCGTAACGGTTTACATGGCAGAGCCAGCTGGAGAGCTGCTCCGAGATTGTGAACCGAGACATGTTTTAGTGCACTCTCTCTTGCAAGAAAGACAACCTGCCTCCTGAGTCTTCCTGTTCCTGATGTGTTCTTAGCATCAGATTACCAGCATTAACCTAGCATATTTAAAAAAAAAAAAAAAATATATATATATATATATATATATATATATATACACACACACACACACACACACACACACACACACACACACACACACAGCTACATCTTCCTTAGGGGATGTGTATGACTGGCAGATAATAAGGAAATAGTAGTTTCTTTTCTTTTCACCTGCGGTCCAAGAGAATACCTTCTGGGTTGTGTGTGTTGTAATGTCATTTAAAAGGTGAACTTTGCTTCGGGTGGTGGTTAGATGCCGATGCTTTTGAGTTTGTGTGTACTCTGATGCGGCAGGCATGTAAAGGTCTATTGTACATTGACTAAAAAAAGGCATTTGTTCAGCGGTGTACTTCCTTATCGTGTAACGATTGCAAAGGAAAGATTACGGTTAGAGAGAAACAGGCACACAAAATTAAAAAAAAAAATCACAAAATCACTTGCAACATATTTAATGTGTTTTTCCGGGTCTTCTGGACTACAATTTTATGTTTCATTTTACGGCTTGTTTTTTTTCTTACCAACTAAGGCCATGTCCATATGTACAAAAAAGCTGGGTTTTAAAATAATCTTTTCCTGCATGAAAACGCATTGGTCTGTTCTCAGACATGTTTATTATCAACCGGAAGCCTAAAAAAAGATAAGAGGGGCCTATGTCGCATTGTAACCCAGTCATTCCTTAATATAGGGCGTCATAATCCAATAACATTCAGAGCGACTTGCGAAGAGGCACACTTTCGTAAAATACAGCTGACAAAAGATTGACTTGGTCGGTCCATCAAACCATTATCTATAAAAAATGTATCTCATTAGGGGTTCGGGTGAGCTGCAGCCTATCCCTCGCTGACTTTGGCGAGACAAAGGCTTCGCACTTGACAGATCACAAATCAGCTGCAAAGCACATCTAGACAAACAGCCTGTCATACTAAACATTCACACCTTTGGACATTTTAGATTCTTCGGTGAAAATAACATCCATATTTTTGAATGTGGTAAGCCGGAGGAGTATGTGGAGCAAAACCAGGCAAGCACAGTGAGAATATGCAAACTCGAATTAGAAAGCCAAAGCCATTTGTATAAAAGCATTTAAAAAGTAAACTTTGTTTAATACATTATTTCCTATGGGAGCAATTGTTTGAAAATCCGGAGAAATGAAAGGTGCGTCATCACCCTGTCTAGCTAGTCTTTGTTAGAGGTTGTACTCTACATACCGTTTTTACTTACTACTTACTTTCCAACACCATGTGGCGTTGCTTACTTCTCATTCACATAACCCAGGCCATTTGATATCCCGATAATGATATACCACAATATATTTTCAGGAGAAGTGAGCAGATAGCGGCTTCTTTTCAGACGACCCCATTTCAGGCGAGGCGAGAGCCAGCATGAGGTCATCCGTCACCTTCTCACGGAGCTGTAATTTTAGCCACGTCAACCTCATCTATCTCCTCGTTCGGCCCCCTCTTTCTGCTGCCCCCTTTGACTGCCATCACGACACTGAGAGCAGGCTGCCGTGTGCGTCTCTTTTGAGGCTTTCAACAGGGCAGGATAATATGTTTGGGTCTGGATGTGCATCTGCTACCGATGACCTCATGGTTGAGAGACAAAGCCGTGTTCCTTAATCTTGTGGAAGGTCCATTGTCATAAGCTGTGTGTCACTCTATGAATGACTTGCTGTTCTGATGTGCAAGTTACCGTATTTTTGGAACGTAAGTCGCTCCGGAGTATCAGTCCCACTACTCCAAAAAAAAAAAAAAAAAAAAAGGCATCATGAAGAAGAAAAAAAAAGCATATGTGGCTCAGGAGTCACATTATTGAAATGTATTTTTTTTTCCTTTTAAATGATCTGTGCACCTTTTATTGTAACATCCAATGCTCCAATTCCAGATAAAATTTAATGCTTTAACTTTGTGATACTTTGTTGTTTGGGGAAGGCCATTTTCTGTTCCAAGTGCACAAAGCATGGTCAACAAAAGAGTTAATACGTTTGTTGCCTGGCACCATGACATCAAACCTCTTTGCGTTGAATTATGATGATCTCCATATAGTCTACGACTGGTATACCTATAGCTTTGCAGTATAACAGAAATGAGCTCAGCAATGTCAAAGAAATCACGATAGAAAATAGTTGCAAAACATTCCATCCTTGTATTTATCATTTATTATTATTTTTACCATCTGTTCTACTGTCACTCCAACAAAACCAACTTCACATTTCACTAATGTGCTCTTGAATTTCCATAAAACACCGCCCATTTCCTGATGTATAATCAGACAGTATATCCTTCACAACATGTTCCCTTTTCCTGCCCTCCCTCGATTGGTTGTTATTTTGTGAGACAGGAAGTTGTCCGATGATATTGCCATGAGTGTGAGAATCCAGCTCCGCGCCATTACTGATAAAGGGGAAAATAAACATGACTTATGCATACTCATACAGAGTTAACTCAAGATTTTCAGTGGGTTTTGAGAAGGAATGAGTGAGTATCTGTATTGGCTAGATACCGGCCTGATTTCAATGTATGATTCAATGATGATTTTAACAGCACTCCCTTACTTTGGAGCGTCTCCCCTTCCATCTGTGGTGACATTTCTCAAAACCGCAGAGAAACTTGTTTGAGCTCTGGTTGGGTACCGGCACGAGTTGCTTACTTTTTCATGTGCCAATCATCCTGTTGAAATGCTCTTGCTCAGTTGTGTCGTTCAGAATTTGTGACAAATGTGCTTCCAGGTTAGCAGATTTGGACAGAGAAACTAGATCAAATAAGGGAATTTTGGTCTACATGGCGATGTAGTGATATGGAGCATGCACACACTTCTACACAAATCTAACTCCGTAATTACACTTTAACATAATTTTCCTCTCCTTTCCCTTTCACCCTCAGAGTATCCACAGGGGATATTACATTTTTATCTTTCTTTTCCTCATTTGTCATGTCTGAGCCAATTATTTTCCTCTGTCTCCCTCTACTTTTGCAGCATGCATAATCTATGCCGTCTCCCTTGTGCCTGTATCCTTCCAATCATGTGCCTTTTTTAAAATCGTCTTGTAGTTATATTTGTTTTCCTCCCCAACAAAACTTAATCAGCTATTACTCTGTATTTTTAGCGACAGTTTCTCAACGGCTGTGAAATGAAACATTGTGAATGGGTGACACATGTCCTGTGCGCCTAATCCTAATGTCTTATGTTATTCTTCAGTTCAACAAAAACAATAAAACTGTAAGTCTCTAAACCAGTGGTTCTTAAACCCCGCCCCCCCCCAGGGGTTCGGTGAATCGGTCTCAGGGGTTCGACGGAGCCTCTGCCATGGAGGTTAAGACACACCCGACTCAAGATGTCAATTTGGTTCGGTACCTCTAACAAGGTTAAGAACCACTGCTCTAAACTATCGACTGCAAACTAGGTGAGACTGAATCAAGGAAGTGGTCCTCCACGTTCAGCATCAATTGCTTTTGGAGACACTAATCAACTAAAAATAATCGACATTGTTCATGACAATCAACTCTTTGACGATTGTGTTTATCCCTCCAAAAAATAAATTGTGTATAACGCTCATTCCTCTGTGGTCATTCGCTTTGGCACACTTCGCTAATAGCTAGCATGCCAAGTAAGAAGAAAAGTGTGATTTTTTTTTTTCTTCTTCCCCCATTCCCTTACTTAATCAACACCTACATTACCCAAGATTTGTGAGCTCTTTGTGGCTATTATTCGTAAGACTTCTATGATTAGACAGTCATTGTTTCACTGTCTGACTACCTGGAAATTATGTGGATTAATTTTTGATCAAGGCAGCCTGACCCCCATTGATTCCAAGCTTGTTTTAATGGCGGGGTGTGCAAGACTAGCTGAGCTTCACACATTAGTGTGGCCTTTCTACTGTACATGATGCAGGCTGTCTGCAAATAATTTCGGGAATGTGTAGAGGTTTATACTTGGAAATTAAGAGTGAATGACTTTGGACAGGCATTTATCTTTTTTTTTTTTTTTTTTGCTCAGCTGTTAAAACAACCCTCACCCTAACAGTTATTTTTAAATGTTATTATTAATTGGATTGGAGGTCCTCTTTGTTCATGTTCCGAACTCCTGTTTCAATTCCACTTAATAATGCTGGTCGGCGGAGTTCTGCCATAGTGAAGGTTTGCATAGATGTAGCCCAACTTTCTATATTTGATGGGATGTTGTGGTTCAATAAACTACAAACTTGTCAACATCATGGAAAAGAATGTTGTTGTATGTTAGGATGACGGCTGCCATTCGCACACTTGTCAAGTGCCCTTCCGGGCAGCGAAAACAAGAGCAGACATACTGTTTGTTGAATGAAATCGACAATTCTTTTTTAAGCTTTTGTTCAATGTATGGTAAACACAAAAGACTTCATAAATCCTGAATTAGCAGTCATGATACCAAGGATTTCTGTTTGCCATCATTATGTCCAAACCCCGAAGCTTTCAACCCAGTGAGTTATTCAGCATCTTGGCACCAGTGGACAGAAATAAAGCACTGCAGGCTTTCTGGAGGTGTCACAAGTAATAAAAACCAGAATGCTGCCAATGAGCAAAACTATTCTTCTCCAAAATAGAGCAACAGTGTTTTATATTTATTAGGCTTCGTCAGGGAATGCAATTTATAGCATGAGTAATAGCAGGGGCATTATCAAGGCTTGGCATCTTTGGCTTCATTTGCAGCCAGAACTCAGTGCAATCGATCTACTGTGCATACTTAGTGATACATTGGCGCTGCGACCTACAAAGATGTTAAAAACTTATGGAATTATAATTGATTTTTCATTTTATCTTATTTTGTGGCTGGTATGAGAAGATGTTACAAATCACATATTTGTACTGGTAATCATTCACATTTTTGGTCTTATGTGTTTGTGTCATGAGAAGATGATATAAAAAGCTACTGGGTTGCGGCTTGAATAATAAAAATTGCTGTAAGTGTGGCAGTGTTAGCCAAGAGGCTATTTTTCATCTCTAGTCCCTGGATAAATAATAAAAAAAGTCACTCTTAAGCACAGAATATAAAAGAAGAATATAAAGTTGTTCAACATGTTTAAATATTTAGGAAAATAATATATAATATTAATGTGAACAGAAAGAACATTCAGTATGCCCTACACTGACTAGGTATTGCATCAGTGCAATGGTACCTTGACTTAGGAGTGTCCCAAAAATTCAAGTTTTTCAAGTTTAGATTTTTATGGTATGCGCTGTGAGCCAAAATTTGAATCACACGTGAACTTCAAATGTGCCGCCGCTTGAGCGAAGTTTAAAAAAAAAAAAAAAAAAAAAAAAAAAAAAAAAAAAGGCAGGCGACAGTTGCCAATGTTCTTTCAGCCATTCATTGAACGGGACAGAAAGTCAAACGAAAGATCCAAAATGAAAACATGCTCTGGACCTCGTTCACCTGGCAATGCACTTCAAAGGCACATCATCCAAAAATACCGCAGCGTTTTTGCTTGATGACATTTTATAAAAAGATTTCATTTCTTTACATTCGCTTCGCGTTTTTATATTGACGTGTTACAATACAGAGGCCCAAATCTGAAAAGCGTCCGAATGAACCGCTTCCTTTGTTTCATCATTCTCATTTCTATTAAACGTCTGCAAGAGCAGAAAGAAGCAGACTGATTAATGAGGACGCTAAATCAGAGGAGCCCAGGCGATTTACTCAATCTGTCAACAGTTCTTTTTTGAGAAGAACTGCACTGAATCAAGATATAGTGATTAATAAGAGCTGTGGGTGACCAGTATTCTTATCTTTTGCTTCCAAGAAAACCTGCATCGTGTATGAGCATCATCTACTTACAGTGGAATAATGAAATGTTGTTGCTGCTGTAGCAGTTAGCGATAAGATGAAATCATAGGTGGGGATGTCAATCAGGAACTCTTTGAGGTCAAAATCCAATGTTATTATGAGATATAGCACCTCCCCCTCCGCTACATAATTTAGATTAGCACTCAATGTTTTTTTTTTGAGACTCTTGTATTTGGCCGTTAATGCAAAATCACTGGGTGATTTATGTGAATCATTGATCCCAACTGTGACACAGAAAGCTCAGTTTGATGGAGATGTCCCTCGGTGTCAGTCAATTATTGATGAGGATAAAAATTGATTCATTCATCAGCAACATACCATGTTGCTCTGCTAATGGCTGAATTGTTTGAAACGCTGTAGATAACTTCAACTCACCACAAGGAGGAATAACAACATTGTGGTGATGTCGTTTGCCTGAAAGATTTCAGCTCCCTTTTTTTCCCATATTGTTTATTGTTGCCGTCTTTACATTCCAGAAGCAAGAATTTAAATCATAGTCATTTCAAACTTTTTCCATTGTGGAAGTGAGAAAATGCAAGTAAGTTCCTGCCTCATGGTGCAGTCAGTGTATCCTGCAAAGAGTCGACTGGCTTTGCTCTGGATTATCTCTCCCTTCTTGGAATCCTGTTAAGTCTCCACCGTATCACTGAAGCTCTGTCTCAACAAGATTAAACTTGCTGGAATGCTCGCCAATTACAAAAGAAAAAGTCTTAGAAATCTTCTAGAAGTAAATAGATTTTGCTTTTGACAATTAACTGCCGTACATCCTTCTGTGCATCATTGACTGCGAGATCCGTCGGTACTTGACCCGGTTAGTGAAGATTACAATGACGGATGAAAAGCCACCTCCGTAAGTCCGTAATTTTTTTTTAAAGTTTCCCATCATTCATCAATTGTCAACAAAAATCCGTTAGTGGTAGACTGACGAACCTTTCGTCAGTACTAAAAACAATTAACATCGCCTAGTGTCTGCAAACTGCAACCACTCGTCACCGAAAATTCATTTGTGCATCACTACTCATGCCCACTTAAATCTCTGAAAATATCAAAAAGATCACCACAATATTGAGAAATGTATGGACATTAAACATTTTTTTTTATAGTGAGCTCCTAAGAGGAAATGGCCAATCACCGCCATGAAATCCAAAATATTGGGATGATAGCTTTTATATTTTCAGAAGTTGAAGTCGGCAGTTGTCCTGGCGTTGTGTTCTGATTTTTATAAGAATACTTTATTTATGATTTTCCACTCAAGGGAACATGTTGACTGTCAACAAATAAGCTGTTGAAAGTTTCCATCTTGAAATGTCCCTTAAGTTTAATATAGATATGAACAAGCCCTGTCCTTTGGGAAAGTGGTCATCATGGCTCTCATTCCTGTGTAGTTTGGCGAGATGGACGGCACAGTTGTTGTCTCTTTTGGTGGCATCTGTGCACCTCCGAACATGTCAATCACCTTTTTAATCTTATGCCCAATAACATTGACATGTCCTGTAGCTGTCACATAGTTGTCACATTTAGGTGCTTCCGAGCATTCTGTTCAGTTTCAACCACCTGAGTGCTAAATCCTGGAAATATAAATTATGAGACATTTTGAAAGAGTCAGTGAGCATGTTAAGAATTATATTGTGGTTGATTATGATGTACACACAGAGTTGTAAATAGTCAAAGAAGGATGCACGATCAGATGATATTTAGTTGCAGAGGTTCAACTGTTTTAGCTCTTAGCTCTGATAATGTTGATTGGTTGACGACAACAGCGCATACGCAAAACCCAAAAGAACCTTCCTGGCTCTTTGAGCTGCCCTCCTGGGACAACAAATGTTCCCGGCAGTCTCCTTTTCAACGACCATCACAGGGCCTGTAGCCAGGACAAATACACACATTTTTTTTTGTATTGCTGCTGGGTGATCTGCTCCATAAACATTTTTATGTCCTCATATCTGAACTGCTCGGCTTTTCGTCTTTTTGATTGTAAACACTCATATTGATTGATTTAAAAAGGTCAACGCTGATCATTTCTTTAAAATTGCTATTTTCTTGTCATAGTATTCCACACAATTAGGTTTCGTAAATGGATGAAACTTGAACCTCATAAATTGGTGTTTAACAGCCAAAATAATTGACGTACTGAGGAAGTGGTTGAAAAGAAAATATGAATGTATTTTTACATTAATTATTTATTTTGAAGCATTATTATCTTTAGTTTTTACATGTACCGGTATATAAAAACCAGGACTTCCAACTCAGCTTCAGCCAGACAATTAAGTTTAAAATGACTCCTATTCAAGCAAAATCTGAGTTCTTTTATTTGAAATGGTTTCTTTTGGCTCAAAATGTGTAAATTGTCTTATGTCAAAGATACTAATGATTCATTTGCATTTTATGTTTTTATATTGGATATGCCTTTATTGACAAAATAGAAGAATAATCTTAGAAGTGGCAAAAATGGAGTTTCATCCGCTCTTACGACTGTTTTGTATTATTTCCAGCCAAGTGGTAACAATTCACAAAATACAAAAAAAAAAAAAAAAAAAAAATCACTCCAACACAAGATTTGCCTATGAATAATTGTGGGCTTTACCGTACATAATTTCATAATGTATTCACTGAAAACTGGATTCAAAACAAAAGGTTTGAGTGTAAGCAGAGGGCAAGGCAATGTTTCATCGACTGTGTGATTTTGTACAGGAACGTAAAAGAAACCCTGCGGAATTAAATTCTCTCAAATCCATTTCCTCAAGCGTTCAACCTGCAAAAACATTGCTTATGCAAATGATTATGCTTGTATGTCTGCGCAAAATGACATTTCCCCCCCTCCAAATGGTCGTGGTGACTTGAATGTCTGGAAATATATTGTTGTCATATAAAACATCCAGTTCTCCATTAGTGTTCTCCCCTTGTTATTCATTGTAAATATTTAAACACAGGTTTAAGGACTTTGTTTTTACACCCTGCTCCTCCTGTTCTTTCAGCGCACTGCAAAAATATGGACATAAGTCTAAATAATCATACTACTCTACATGCTATAAAATACTGTATGACATGATGCTACATTGTACAATTGTGACTTTTGAGTAAACAAATAAGCAACAGTTAAGAACACACTGCAAGGGTTAGATAGTTGGTTTAGAGTCGACATAGTCGGCTTTATAGTGTCTCTACAGCTGCTTCAGGAATTTTGTTTATCTTTTCTATCTTTGGAAGAGGCAAGTTCCTATTCATAAATCACTTCCATTATGTTTTCTTGGGCTGTTAAGTGAATGTTTATAGGAGGAGTTGTGCAAAACCAGGGCTTGGCAACCACTCAATCGAAATGTTAGTGCAATGGCAGCCTGCCTATAAAAAAAAAAAAAAAAAAAAAAGTTTGATGAATTGGTGCTGGTTTATGCGCACATTATTACATTTTCATCCCCAAATTATTCGTGCCGTTTGTGAGGCCAAGATTTGGACAACTGTTATTTCCTGTTGCTCTGAGTTACAGTTTAGATGCAGTAGCAAGCTGAAAAGATCCGGACTGAAACAACAGTGAACATAGCCTCGAGCGTATATTGTTATTTTGTGTTTTTAAAGTCACTGGTGCCATATTACTGCTGTCATTCCCAGGCCAGTGACCATAGCTCAATAACATCGCCTCGGGTTCATTGTAAGCCAGGCTCCTTGGTTTCTTCCATAACTTCCTTGTGACTTGTTGCCTTGGAAACCCTGCTTGCTTCATCCCAGTTTGCCTTTTTAGCATTGAGTGTTTCAAACATTGTTAAAGTTTGGTCTAAATATATGGTGGGCTGTGTTAATCTTGCTGAACCTATAAACCTTTAGTTTATTACTGTCAAACTGTTTTCTCTGAGTGATTGTTTGGTCTCAAGGTTTAGTATTTCGGCAATTAAAATTGCTACTTCTCAAAGCCAGAAGGCCAAACAAATACCTACAACAGAAAAGGTGTTGTCTCACACACACACACACACACACACACACACACACACACACACACACACACACACACACACACACACACACACACACACAGGAAAAAAAAACCCAACAACAGCACTTCCCACATTAAATACTGTATCTCACCAAATGGTGGCATTCACTCTGTGTCTCATACAGATGGAAAAAATGTCACTTGCCATTATCTGCACTTCACTGAGCCATGGCCCCATGGCTTATTCCAACAAGTATTAGGAAACTGACCATATCTCATTACAGTGCGGTGTGATGACATTTGTTATTCTATGAGGGAAAAAAAAAAATCGTTATTCTGCGCATGAATAAAAATAAAATCTGCCAATGCCCTTGTTTGTCACCACTGACATGAATCTATTAAAATTAGCAGTGGCAATCTGACCCATGATTTTTTTTTTTTTTAAATACAGTCAAACCTCGGTTTTCGAACGTCTCTGTTCTCGAACAAATCGGTTTTCGACCAAAAATTTCGAGTTTTTTTATGCCTCGGATTACGACCGAAAATCGGTTCTCGACCAAACTTGATTCCTCTCGCCTTCCTTACACGAGGAAGTGACGCTTCCTCGGGTAGACGAGGAAGTGACGCTTCCTCGGATAGACGAGGAAGTGACGCTTCCTTGTGTAGCCTTCCATTGTGAGCAGACGTGTTCAATAAAGATTTTTTTTTTTTAAAAAGAGCGTGGTTTCGGTTTTCGAACAAATCGGTTTTCGAACAGCCTTCTGGAACGGATTATGGTCGAAAACCGAGGTATGACTGTATCCGGTACACCACGTTCCGGCCATAATGAAGTCGCATTCAGAGATTTACAGAACAATACAATCAGTGACAGCAGCTCTGCATATGATTAAACATGATTTGAGCAAATTTGTTATTTCAGAAGTGTGGATCAAACGGGAAGCCCTTTGCATGATTCAGTACCCAAGAAGTAGCTCTCAGTTTCGAAAATGTTGGTGATCCCTGGCCTATTGTGACTCATAGTCAAAATCAATAAGCATTGATTTTCAAACTGTCGTTTGACTCTCACCTGCTTTATAATTAATTGCGCCCAGAGGAAAAAATTGATTTGCTCAGTGGCAAATACCTCAAGATATCCGAACAAACCTGGTCCTGCAACTTGTATTATCCCCCAATTTACTCATTAAAATAGGCATAAAGTGAGCATATACTCGCTCATTCAACAAAACAAGTACTTGAGAGGAGATTCTGTCAGTGCTATTCCAATTAAGGTAGCTTGATCAACAGGCTCCTCCGCAATGCAAGATCAGAAGTAATGTATGCATTGAACTGCTTGGCATTTCAAATTACAGAACAAAACCACTGGGACAACAGATCACATGCAGCCGAGTCCTAATGAGAACCCCAAAGAAAATGGCTTGTGACCGACCTTAATCCTCTGGTGAACATTTTCATCACACGAATATGCATACCCACCAATCGTAGTGATGCAGAAGATGTTATTTCGCATCTTCATATTCAAAATGAATCAGTAATCTATTTTTTTTTTTTGAAAGTTTCAATCATGGTAGTCTTCTCGAGTTTTCCCACGTTGGGGCTCGCTGTTTCATTCAAATTCAGATATAGCAGTAACTGTCAAAATTGCAGGGAACCTCTGAGGACAGTCACAACTCTTTCTAATCTCGAAGGATGGTAGAGGTTTTGGTTGAAAACACGGAATCATTAATAATCCATTGCAGAGCCAAATTGTTATCAACCTCAAAACCTTTCTTAACTCTATAAGCTATTTTTTGTCTTAACATTCTCCAACATTCTTGTTAGGTGAGGCATATGATAATACTGAAGTGTCTTCCTTTCTGTTGTTCTCACAGAATCATTTGTAGATTCTTGGCCTTTTTTTGGATTGAGAAAAAAATTTCCCCCATATTTGAGAAATAGCAGGGCACAGGCCGTTTATCGTTTTATGCTTGCTGAACCAAAGTATTATTTTATACGCTGCCATCCATGCCACATGACATCAGACATGACAGCACTCAAGATAAACGTTAGAAAGGCCACAAGAAACCCATGAACAAGCCTAACGCACAGTTAATCCGATTTTGCTCACTGAATTGAGGTCTCGTGGGATTATCTGTTAAAACGGGTTGCCGGTCTTTTGTTATAATGGATCAAAAAAGACGCAAAAAGCAAAACACGGAGTTAATCCTCTATTGCTCGCCGAATTTATGTCTTTATAGCCTTCAAAACTTATAAAGATATTGTCTTCCTGAATAGCGTGGAGATGTTTGCTTGGGATGCAAATAACACGTCACGTTATTGTAATAGCTGCAGGGTGAGTGACGGATATTGTCAAGATTTTAATGAGATTACTACTCTTAACGATACGGCACATTGATCCAGTGCTTTTATGGTATTCTTATTGGTACTTTTGTCACTTAGAAAAACACCTTTTCAAAATTTTCGCTGCCATGAGGACCAAGATTAGTGACTTCGAGGAGCAGCTCCGCGCCATGAAAGGACAGTATTTAACTGTGCAAGCTAGCCAGCTGCAACTCGTAGCTGGCACGGACTCAGAGCAACTTGGCTTAGTTTCTAGCATTCTCCTGGTAATTCCAGAGCAGCCGGAAAAACAGGGAGAATGCTCAACCGTTTTTTTTAACCAGCTCCGATTTATTCAAACTGCTTCCAGCTCTGAGGTCAGATGTGCTTGAAGCCATTTTAACACAGAGTCAGATATGATGTCATCAACAAGTTTTGCCATGTTTGGTCAGCAGATTCCACATCTAATACGACGGGCCAAATTTATAATATCTATCGTACATACCAGATACCGCATACTGCATCTTCAAACACAACCTGACATCCTGTGTGGCCTGTCGGCCTAATGTGTAGTATGAGTCAGTTGGTGCTGGTACGGTTTAGTACCCATGGTTCCATGTTAGGGTGGCCCAGTGGTTAGCGCGTCGACCTCACAGTGCAGAGGTACTGGGTTCGATTCCAGCCCTGTGTGGAGTTTGCATGTTCTCCCCGTGCCTGCGTGAGTTTTCTCCGGGTACTCAGGTTTCCTCCCACATTCCAAAACCATGCATGGCAGGCTGATTGAACACTCTAAATTGTCCCGAGGTGTGAGTGTGAGCGCGGATGGTTGTTCATCTCTGTGTGCCCTGCGATTAGCTGGCAACTGGTTCAGGGTGTCCCCCGCCTACTACCCGAAGAAGGCTGGGATATTTTTATGCCTCGGATTACGACCGAAAATCGGTTCTCGACCAAACTTGATTCCTCTCGCCTTCCTTACACGAGGAAGTGACGCTTCCTCGGGTAGACGAGGAAGTGACGCTTCCTCGGATAGACGAGGAAGTGACGCTTCCTTGTGTAGCCTTCCATTGTGAGCAGACGTGTTCAATAAAGATTTTTTTTTTTTAAAAAGAGCGTGGTTTCGGTTTTCGAACAAATCGGTTTTCGAACAGCCTTCTGGAACGGATTATGGTCGAAAACCGAGGTATGACTGTATCCGGTACACCACGTTCCGGCCATAATGAAGTCGCATTCAGAGATTTACAGAACAATACAATCAGTGACAGCAGCTCTGCATATGATTAAACATGATTTGAGCAAATTTGTTATTTCAGAAGTGTGGATCAAACGGGAAGCCCTTTGCATGATTCAGTACCCAAGAAGTAGCTCTCAGTTTCGAAAATGTTGGTGATCCCTGGCCTATTGTGACTCATAGTCAAAATCAATAAGCATTGATTTTCAAACTGTCGTTTGACTCTCACCTGCTTTATAATTAATTGCGCCCAGAGGAAAAAATTGATTTGCTCAGTGGCAAATACCTCAAGATATCCGAACAAACCTGGTCCTGCAACTTGTATTATCCCCCAATTTACTCATTAAAATAGGCATAAAGTGAGCATATACTCGCTCATTCAACAAAACAAGTACTTGAGAGGAGATTCTGTCAGTGCTATTCCAATTAAGGTAGCTTGATCAACAGGCTCCTCCGCAATGCAAGATCAGAAGTAATGTATGCATTGAACTGCTTGGCATTTCAAATTACAGAACAAAACCACTGGGACAACAGATCACATGCAGCCGAGTCCTAATGAGAACCCCAAAGAAAATGGCTTGTGACCGACCTTAATCCTCTGGTGAACATTTTCATCACACGAATATGCATACCCACCAATCGTAGTGATGCAGAAGATGTTATTTCGCATCTTCATATTCAAAATGAATCAGTAATCTATTTTTTTTTTTTGAAAGTTTCAATCATGGTAGTCTTCTCGAGTTTTCCCACGTTGGGGCTCGCTGTTTCATTCAAATTCAGATATAGCAGTAACTGTCAAAATTGCAGGGAACCTCTGAGGACAGTCACAACTCTTTCTAATCTCGAAGGATGGTAGAGGTTTTGGTTGAAAACACGGAATCATTAATAATCCATTGCAGAGCCAAATTGTTATCAACCTCAAAACCTTTCTTAACTCTATAAGCTATTTTTTGTCTTAACATTCTCCAACATTCTTGTTAGGTGAGGCATATGATAATACTGAAGTGTCTTCCTTTCTGTTGTTCTCACAGAATCATTTGTAGATTCTTGGCCTTTTTTTGGATTGAGAAAAAAATTTCCCCCATATTTGAGAAATAGCAGGGCACAGGCCGTTTATCGTTTTATGCTTGCTGAACCAAAGTATTATTTTATACGCTGCCATCCATGCCACATGACATCAGACATGACAGCACTCAAGATAAACGTTAGAAAGGCCACAAGAAACCCATGAACAAGCCTAACGCACAGTTAATCCGATTTTGCTCACTGAATTGAGGTCTCGTGGGATTATCTGTTAAAACGGGTTGCCGGTCTTTTGTTATAATGGATCAAAAAAGACGCAAAAAGCAAAACACGGAGTTAATCCTCTATTGCTCGCCGAATTTATGTCTTTATAGCCTTCAAAACTTATAAAGATATTGTCTTCCTGAATAGCGTGGAGATGTTTGCTTGGGATGCAAATAACACGTCACGTTATTGTAATAGCTGCAGGGTGAGTGACGGATATTGTCAAGATTTTAATGAGATTACTACTCTTAACGATACGGCACATTGATCCAGTGCTTTTATGGTATTCTTATTGGTACTTTTGTCACTTAGAAAAACACCTTTTCAAAATTTTCGCTGCCATGAGGACCAAGATTAGTGACTTCGAGGAGCAGCTCCGCGCCATGAAAGGACAGTATTTAACTGTGCAAGCTAGCCAGCTGCAACTCGTAGCTGGCACGGACTCAGAGCAACTTGGCTTAGTTTCTAGCATTCTCCTGGTAATTCCAGAGCAGCCGGAAAAACAGGGAGAATGCTCAACCGTTTTTTTTAACCAGCTCCGATTTATTCAAACTGCTTCCAGCTCTGAGGTCAGATGTGCTTGAAGCCATTTTAACACAGAGTCAGATATGATGTCATCAACAAGTTTTGCCATGTTTGGTCAGCAGATTCCACATCTAATACGACGGGCCAAATTTATAATATCTATCGTACATACCAGATACCGCATACTGCATCTTCAAACACAACCTGACATCCTGTGTGGCCTGTCGGCCTAATGTGTAGTATGAGTCAGTTGGTGCTGGTACGGTTTAGTACCCATGGTTCCATGTTAGGGTGGCCCAGTGGTTAGCGCGTCGACCTCACAGTGCAGAGGTACTGGGTTCGATTCCAGCCCTGTGTGGAGTTTGCATGTTCTCCCCGTGCCTGCGTGAGTTTTCTCCGGGTACTCAGGTTTCCTCCCACATTCCAAAACCATGCATGGCAGGCTGATTGAACACTCTAAATTGTCCCGAGGTGTGAGTGTGAGCGCGGATGGTTGTTCATCTCTGTGTGCCCTGCGATTAGCTGGCAACTGGTTCAGGGTGTCCCCCGCCTACTACCCGAAGAAGGCTGGGATAGGCTCCAGCACCCCCCGCGACCCTTGTGAGGATAAGCGGATTGGAAAATGGATGGATGGTTGTTTCCATGTTATTGATTGACCGTGCTGACCAATAGCTCTGAGGAGGCACCAGAGGGTAGTCATGGTTAACTTGTGGTGGTGCAATATGTCTGCGTGAAGGTCATATTGATTTCCCATCATTAAGGGCAACCTTCACTTTCTTTAGTGACCACTGACCTTTTCATCGAGGTAACATTGTCAACAACAGCACACTTTTTTTTCCCCTTCAAAACTGCTGATGGTTGCTATTAGCTGACTTGTGAAGCTGTCCAAGTTACTGAGTGGTACTTGTGAACATTTTCTTGAAAGCGCCACAGCCAAAGAATTACACCTCCAAATGGCAACTATTTACAAATGCCGGTGTGAAGATGAGGAAAAATCTGTCTGTAACTTGCAGTCAGGGGCTGTTGATGCCATGCCAACTTCTTGTGTCAAACGTTCGTATTTATCTTTTTGCAAGGTCATAGTGCATTCCAATTTTATTTTGGAAAATGAAAACAAGTAAATCCACCTTTGTGAAGTAGAAATATAAATAAAACAAGTGCTGCGTGGGACACGTTTTTCACCCACACAGCTCTACTGTGAAAGCATATCTTATGTACAGTGTGTGCGGCATGCTGTGAAACATACGGGTGCATCTTGTAATATGCCTAAAAATTTTGTGAAATGTACAGTGCATATTTTTTGCAGACTGATAGCTGTGCAGTACTTTGACGAGACAGTGCTTCGTCTTGCTTTCCAAAAAAGATTGTAGTGGGAAGAGAGGAAGGACAGGTGAGACCCTTCAAGTGCTCTCATGAAACAAGAGACTTTTTTCCAAGACTTTGCTCTGCACAAAGTTGCCCAAGTGCGGACCTAAAAATCATTTTCGCTGAAAAGGCATTGCAACACAAATTCAACAAAAAACACTAATGCAGTCTACTCAGTCTTAGTCATTGATAAGTGAAGCTAATAGAAACCATCAATCTGATGACTTTATGCTTTGTAGAAAGTGCCGACCTTGCAGACATGAACTGAGAGCTTAGCCGCTAAATAAAGACAGACAGAAGCAACTTTGTGCTAACATGCCGAACATATGAAAATGCCGAAAGCCTGTTCCTAATAAGTTGCTTTTTTTTCTTTTTTAACATATACTTTTACTAGTAGAACAATATTTTTGTTGTATATTATTTTTAGGTGTGTTTTTGTTTCATTAAAAAAAAAAAAACTAGCTTGCTGCACAGTAGAGTCATGGTTAGCATGTCTCACACCATCACAGTCGAGATATTTTGGGTTTGAATCTTAGCTCAGACCATCTTGTGTGGTGTTTTACTGTGATAGGCATTTGGCTAAATACCTTGATTGACTGTAGGACAAATTAGGAACTAATTAATCAATTAATCAATTAAAAAAAGAATTAAATATCTATATTTGGAGGTGCAAATCTGTCTCAGAATTTCGGAATTCCTGCTTTCATGCCTCTGTCGTAAAATAATTAAATATAAAGACAGTCATTTCTATCATTTTGATAAACTACAATTACAACTTGCAAGTGTTTCCATTTAAGAGTGAATTTTGAACATTTCCGAAGGCTGTTGGTTTTTGTACGCAAACAAACACTTGTCATCCATCTTCTCTAGTTCTTGTTGTTATTTGCGTTGCGGATGAGCTGGAACTGATCCAAGATGACTTTGGACAAAACGCAGATTACATCCTGTACTGGGCCCACACCAATAACAGGACATATGTAAAAAAAAAAAAAAAAAAAAAAAAAAAACACATTCACACCCAAGGATAAGATTGAGTCTTCAGTTAACCAACCATGCATGTTTTTCATGTGGGAGGAAACCGGAATACACAGAGAAGACCATGAAAGCACAGGAATTACCCACAAACTCCACACATGAAGGTTCATTTGCTAACAGCTTGTCTGCCAAAACTGCACAGGCAATTCCAGCAAACTTGTTGGGGAAGTGATAGATGAAACAAGGAAGAACACATTCAGTTGTTGTGAAGATCTAGATAAAGGTGTTAATACAAAAATTTCATTTCACTCTTCATGAATAGGCTCGTTCACATTGCAGAACTGATTCAAGCAGTTCTCTGCTAACCACGGGTGTTTGCGTGATCTGCTTGTTCACCCACAAAAAAAATACCTGGTCTGAGTGTTTCTCCAATAGTCTTTCTAAGTACCTCCAAAGACTTAGCAGAAGACTCACTGGATGTCCTCATCCCCGAAATGCGGAGAAGAGCAAGCACCTCTTCGTCCGTCCACTTATCGCATTTTTCCCCCATCGTTCTTACAATAGATTAGGTGAGTGAGGAAAGAAAGAAGCACACACTAACAGAATAATGGCAAATTGTTTAATGGCCTCTGCCGATGTGAAAACAACATACCATCCAGTTGATCCATCCAATCGGCATTTGTCAGCACAGCCCTCCCCCTCAAGTGCTCCAGGTAGGTCCACAGAGACTCTTGAGTCTTGGAGGCACTTAAAAAGATCCTCGGGCGAACCTCCTAGACCAGGTAGTATTTTTTTGTGTGTGAACAAGGAGGTTACTCAAATTCCCGGGGTTAATCAAGAGGCTGAAAGGGCCAATTTGGACTCACTATGTGAATTCCACTGTGGGGGATCTGTCCATCTGGATAAGCAAACACAAGTAACTTTTGTTAACAGTTAAACCTTGGCAGAAGGCTATTCTGTTGTTTATTTATTTACTTTAAAAGCAGAAGAAATTTCCAAATGACGTAGCGGTGCTCTGCTGATTTTTTATTTTTTTTTTTTATTTATAGCATAACACTAACACATGTAGTGTTATGGCTTGGCCTTGGTGGAGGTTACTGCTCTACTGGCTGGTTCTGCTTTAGTGTGCTTTGCTGTTTTTTTGTTGGTTTTTTTTTTTGCACTGATCTGACACTTGCGCTGCTTCAGAGTTGTCTTGATGTGTGTCCAACCGCGCGGCGACAACAGACCGACTTCAGTGACCTCATCACATTTTGACCATTCTACCAACCCTCGGAGTGTATGTGGGCGCATATGTGTGCCAAGCGGATAGTTGTATCCATTTGTCCATCTATTTGAGTGCTGTCTGGATGCTATAAAGTTTCTGGCCAAGCATGGCACCGCACTGTGTGATAAGGGCAGTGACAGAACCAGGCCATCTGGAGGCCGGTTGAGACCAGATTTAATTCATTCCTTGAATAACTGTCACTCTTCTGTCAACATAGACAATGATACAATCTGTTTTAACCATTGATTATTATTATTATTTTTTTGCAGTGTGCTGTTTTGTGGTCCACATGAGGTGCCATGAATTTGTCACATTCTCCTGCCCAGGAGCTGATAAGGGGCCAGACACAGATGTAAGTAACTCACTTTGATCTGTCTTAAATGGTTCTGGAAAAAAACATTAGGTACTGATGATATGATGAATACATTTCAAATTCAGTTTAGCCAGGCTGAATTTTGATGTAAAGTAAGTAAGAGATTGGATACATTTTTGCTGGAAATGAGAAACAAACATGGCGAAAAATTTGGAGAATTTGGTATTTAAGACATTAATAAAAATGTGATTTTTCTGGGTTTTTTTTTTTTCAATTTTGAAAGCGATTAATATCTCTGACATTGTTGTGAAAACTCAATCTTTTTCACCCTTCTTAAGCTCGCATCTCACTGAGCGGTTCGTTCAAGGTTGCAAAGATTTGCAAAGCCGTTCGCCAGATATTCGCCAGACATTCGCAAAGAGTTTAAATATTACAAACGTTTTTTGTTGCCACCATCAAATTTTGAACATCTTCATTTTGTGATGATTTGTGAAAATTTCTTTGAAATCCGTTCAAAATTTCTTTGTGACAAGATGATGTAGAACTATTTGCGAATGTCTACGAACGTCATTGCAACCTTGGACGAACCCTGATGAAAAAACATTCGCTATGTGCGCAAACTTTGCTGCTGCGTGTGATATAGGCTTCAAGCATCCCGGCATAATCAAGCACACAAAATATAAAAAATACTTAAGTATTATTTAGTCACTCTGTCCCAACGATGTACCATGACAGGCAGAACAATTCAATTCTCTTCCACTATGTGGCAGAAGATACAATTCATTTTACATAATTTCTATTTCTATTTGGTGGTGTGCAGATTTTTCTCATGAATTCTAATGACCCTCTATGTTTAAAAAAGAAACTGATAATTGTAGACATGGAGCTTGTTGTCAAAATTAAGAATAGCATTTATAAATTGGGGTAAAACCTACTGAACAAATACAAATCCACTTCCACAATATAGTTTGTTCATCTGGCCATTTCAATTACATGGATGCATTTTAGCTGCAGTCAAGCAGGTGTGGGATTGACTCGAAGCAGCAGCAGCAGGTGGATAATTCAATTCATTGAATACCAATGTTCCAGTGGGGTCCCTGGGTACTTCCATTAGAAAATGAGATTGAAATATTCTACTCGGTGGGTGCATCACTGCCTCCAAATCTCCAGGAAGAGATTATTCTTGGCCGATAATGCAGGTTGTGATTTCAAAACCTCTTGAGCTTGCTCCCAGAACAGTGATGGAGTCCAAGGTTTAACTCTAAATAATAACTCTAATCCAGCAGGCGTTAGGGGAAAAATGATTGGCAGATTAGGCTGCCATAAACGGGGATGAGACTTGGAGACAACATTTGAAGCAAATGCTGACAAAAGGTTGGAATATTTTTTTTTTCTCATCAAAATTCTTTTGAGAAACCAAATAATATCTGATTCAATGAGTTCCATCTTTATGGGCTTGTAGTTGCAGGTCTGTGCAATCAACCACTGCTTGCCAAGTGTGAAACTGCAAGCGTGCTTGGTGGCCATGATGTGTATACGGGTATTGCCGTATAACCTTTCAGCATTACAGCAGCCCAAATTGGCCTCAGTAACCAGAGACAAGACTGAGTTGTGCCGTTCAAGATCTTTGACAGGGACTGAAATAGAGTTACAAAGATGACATCGAACCCCTCGTAGCCAAAAATAGTTTGAGCTGGGCCAGTTCATGATTCAAACCTTTGGAAAGGTTCAAAGAGGTTCATTCATTTTGGTCCGAATAAAATGATGAGTCTTCTTAGAGTCAATATAAAGAGGTTTTGTGTCTAACTAGTTTGGATTTTTTTTTTTTGTATCGCTCATCAGTGTTTTTGCTCTCCTATACCCAATTATTCAGAATGGCTTTAGCAAAAGAAAATATGCCTTCTGGGGTAGCCAGGTCAATCCTGATCTGACTCTGATTGAGGTGCTGTGACATGACCTCAAGAGAGAGACAAAATATTGCTAAAGTGAAACATATTTGGAAAGAGGAATGAGTCAAAATTTTTGTCCAGGAGTTGAGATGAGCAGATACAGATAATGTTTGGTTTACTGCTGCCAAAGGCATGACCAATTAAAAATGTTGACATCCTTTTTCCACCATGGATTGTACCATTTACAATTTGTCATGTGGTGTTCATTACAAGAAAAGTGTATTTGTGTATTGTTGTGACTCAGAGGAAGATCAGATTACATTTTTATGACCAATTGATGCAGACATCGCTGTATTTCCAAACCAATCAATTTTTTTTCTGGCAAGTGTATATTGCTGATTTTCGTATTCATGTCTTAAGAAGCCCAGAGGGGCATTTCAATATTCTGGTCTGGGGAATCGAACCGAGGACCCGTAGGCCACACAGGCTTCATTAGTAGTCACCACACCTGCCCCACAGCGAAACTTCCTGTTTCAAGTACTTTTCCAGAGCAGTCTTACTTTTTTTCCACTGCGCTAAAAAGGCACATAACGTACTTATCCAGTCTAATCTAACTGCAGTGTCCATCAGAGGGAGTGGATCTGCAGGAGAAATATTTCAGGCTAGCCTCTGTGTTAGAGCAAGAGAGTGTTAAACGAGTCTCACACATGACTTCACACTGTCTTCTTGCTTCACTTCATAACTGTTCAATGGCCATGTACCCAATCTTGGTCTTCCAAAGAAGCATGTACACGGTATCACTTGCTCGAAAGGTATACTCTATTATCTTTTTAATATCCATTTATGTGCGCTTAGTAGTGTTGTTGCCAGGGGCAACCACACATACCGGTGTTACATGGCATACTGCCTCCCAGGCAAGCAGTCCGAAAAGAAACTCCCATGGCAAGTAAATTTTCTCAAGTTCTGCGGTTTCTAGGCTACCTGCATTGAATGACTAACATTTATGTTTTATTACTCTCATGCTGGAAAAGAATGAGCTTTCGTTGAGAGGCAACCACAAGATCTTTTGGGTCACTACTCAGCTTTCACTGGTAGATGCGATCAGACTCAGCAAGATGACCATGAGTGCCTTTAAAGCTGCAGGGTGCTTTTAAGGATACTGTGAGCCACACATTGCATCATCTGAATATTCATGAACATTTATGCACATACTAGTCTCCTTCAATTTACTCAATACTGTTGTTTATTTTGAATTGGATTGGTTAATTCTTGTCAGGCTCTCATTTACATCACAAAGCTTGGTAGGTGGAACGGCAATGGCTGTGTCACCTACAAAACAGCCTTTCGACAACATGGCTCAGTGCAACTCTTCCATCCATCAATTTTCGATACCGTTTCTACTCATTATAGTTGTAGGCGAGCTTCTGGCCATCCATGCTGACTTTTGGTGCGAGGCGCCGTTCTCATTGGACAAGATTGCACCAAAGCCTTGCCTAAATAGGAATTCCTCTCAAGGAGGGGGAAGGGATGGTTTATGTCACTTGTGTGATATTTGCTCAGCTTTCTTGGAACGCCAACAGACTTAGGCATTAAAAATAGAACATCCTAGAACCTGGTAGTAGGAGTTATGGCGAGCTGAGTCGGTAGAATGCCCTGAAAAGGGCCAATTGTGATTGAACCCCTGTTTGAATCGATCTGTGGCGAAGAAAACTGAACCGTATTGCTTAGTGGAAACAAGGCTTTATCAGTTCATCTATCTCTTTCTGACTGAGAGTCAAGTGTCATTGCAAGATCACAGGGGGCTGATGCTTGTATTCGCTAAAGCCACTTATTTAACAAAATGCTGCTCTTGTTGACTGGCAGGTGTAACGCAAGCAGCAACAGCAACAGCACCGGCTGCATGAGTGACTTCAGTGTTTTACAGGATAGAAGCATCAATAATGCAGAAGCTGCCTCTTTCACCACAAAGCTCAGCAGATGAAACTGAGAGCTTTGCTGTGCTTGGGTTTGCGCTGGTGCGTTGCTTGCCGCATCAATGATCTCCACTTAACAAGCAGTCTACTGTGTGTGACCTGAGGAAATCCACACTGATATGGCCTTTGCCTTCTCTCTCTCTCTCTCTCTCTCTCTTATATATATATATATATATGTATCAGGAGGAGACAAGGAGACAGTTTTGACAGAAGCGTGTTGGCCTGAAAAACAATCATCAAAAAAAAAAAACTCAGAGCACACACAGCATCATTACAAGCAGCCTGGTTGCAACTATAAAACCAGATTAGACGTGGGGCTAAATGACATCATGTGCGCCACAGGGATGGTTGCTTGTCACAGGCAAGAGACGCTGTCATCAGTTATGCGCTTCCTTCAAGCAAGGGGAGGGTTTTGGCTATCTTTTTAAAACAGACAAATGACACCCCACAATGATGTTTTTTCATTTCACAAGGCACCTGGCAGTGCAAAACAGAAGGGACACAGAGTTGCAACTATGACATGACCTGTGATGCAATGAATCGAAAAGCACCGACTTGTACAACAAACAGATGAGGTTTGCTTGTCAACTGTGGTGCAACTGATCATCTTCGGTGTGGATCACGTGCCACGGTTTGGCACGCACGTGGTCCATGGATTGGTTGGTGAAAAAGAAAATTGTGCATGCCGACGTGCAGGTGGCATGTTAAATCCACATTGACTGTCGTCAAAACTATTGGTAGTCACGTCTAGCCGAGGAAAAGAGGAACTTGAAAACTCACTTGGATCATGTAAATCACATGTATGAGAACATTTTGGTAACCCTGTAAAATACAGTGATGACAGTGATGGCACTCTGAAGATTTGCTTTGAAAAAGGAAACGTAAGGGACTGTTCATTGCTGTCTGCATTTTTAATTATCTTTATAAGGTTCCTTCCAGTTTTCTGAGTTTAACATACTTTATCTAAATGGCTTATATGATAATCTTTACTAATGTAGATGACCTTAGACGTTCCACTAACATTCTATGGTAAAATAAAGCCTGTAGCTGCTCTACGTGTGATGTCTTTTTTTTTTTTTTTACATTCTGTCTCCGAATCAGATGCATTGATTTGGATTGTCTCGTGGCTCCCCACTGTTCTCATTGGACTTTTTCTCACAGTCCAAATGATCCATCC